TGGATCATGGGAACCCACTCCACAAACGGCGGGGAGCTCGGGCCCCACGACGCAGTTTCAGTCTGATACACAAATGAAGGACTGGCATCCTGGGACCATTCAGTGAGTATGTCAGTATATCACGTGATGACGGAGACACCATTAGTCTAATAAGACAATTCAGAGTAAACAGAATTAGAGAAGTGCAGAATTGAACATTTTTTTCCCATGAACAGAAAAAATAATTCCATTTTATACCAGACGTTTCTCTGACCTTGAGCCTACTCAGAATGTCCTGGCCCAGGGAGGCTCCCGTGGGGGACAGCCAGGAGCCCGAGCCCTAGAGAGGTCACTCTGGGGGATTGTCCAAGCCCCCAGCCCATGGGAACTCACTGTGGGGAACAGTCAGGGTCCCCAGAAGGCCTTTGCATAGGACCACAGGGATGTTCTACCTCGGGATGGTTAGCACAGAGCTCAAACCCAGCACCACTGAACTCCCTTAAGTGGCTATTGACCCACTGATTCCCAGACCAGGCTAAGTCCCAGCTGAGAAGCAACCTTCACAATGCAGGGTCCACCATGGGCGTCGGAAGCCCAGGATAGTGCACGCTCTGTGCACAGAGGCAGGACTGTCTGCTGGTCACCATGTTCACTGAAACGCCCACTGAAACACCCACAGGTGGCCCAGGGGTCTGAAAACTGAGGCTCAAGAATAAATGGGAGCCTAACAAAGGAGGATCGGCCCAGAGCGACCAGGATGGGCTCCAGATGGCCTTTGTGCAGGTGGGGCCACCGCAGGCCTCCTCCTAACACACTGGCTGTGAAAACAGGAGGCCCACCCTCCCTAGTGATATCAGAGCTGCTGCCTTCTCAGGAATGTACCCTGCGGGCAGACGTTCATCTGCCATGATAAATCACCTCCTGTTCTCCATAGTGCAAGATCCATGCACGTGAGGAAGGGAAGGGCCTTCAGAGGCACGCAGAAGCCTGCGGGGCCCGTGAACACATGGCTGGCGGGGAGCACAGCTCAGACCCGCACTGGAGCCCGGCCAGCACTCCCACCAGCAGGATAGGCACGCCCCCGGGAAGGGACAGAGGAGACAGCAGAGTCCTGGCCCCTCAGCTCAGTCACAGCAGCAGCACCGACAGTGGTTTGAGTACGACCCAAAGGAAATCTTGGCGCCCAGGACGTCTCCTCTGGCCTGAAGGAGGAGCGGGTTAAGCGGAGACCCCACTGGCCTTGCATAGGTACTTACTGCACACCTACTGGATGACCCCAGCTCAACTCTGCTGACCACCGCAGGTCCAGTGCAGAAGGGAGGGAGCCATTAGCACCAAGCAGGCACGGATCCCGGCTCCAACCTCCTCCTCGGGGAGGGGGCTGCAGCCAGGGCGGACGAATGGGGACAGGGAGGTGACATGCAGGAAGACCTGGGGGAGCACACTCAAGGAGCAGAGAGAGGAGCGAGGCACGCGTCTGGAGGCGAGCAAAGGGAGGAACCCTCGCGACAGCGAGGCTGATCCCCCAGGCGCAGCGGGCCCAGGCACTGGACTCACGTGAGCACTGGGACCCAGAAGGCTTACTGTGGCACTGATGCAACCTGGCACTCGGGCACTCCACGAGGAGCTTGTCACGGAGGCTGGAGGGGTGGGGCAGGGGTGTCTACTGTGAGCCCTTGGTGGGCTGAAACGAGGAGCCCAAGGGGAGAAGGCAGGGGTGGGGGTGTCTGGAATCGGATCTGGAGACGCTGCATGCCCAGGCGGATGCAGGAGGCCGAGGGCAGGGGTGCGTGAGCCTGGCCTGCGTGGCCTGTGGGGGCCTCTGTGTCAGGCTCGGGAAGGAGATTCTAGGTTCCCCACCCAGCTCTTCATCACCTCAGTGTCTCTAAAGCTGGGGGACAGCTGTCCCCACCTCATGGGGTGAGGCAGACACGGGAAGGTCACCATTAGCGAGCATACCACGTTTCCAAGGGTGACTGGTCGGCAGGGACAGAGAAGTGACAGGAGCGGGACTCAGAATCCCGCACCGAGGCTCACCCTGGGTTTAGGGAGGCTGAGTGACTTCCCAGGAAGGAGCGGTTTCCTGCTAACCCCTCGGGCAGCAGGTAACCCCGGAGTGAAGCCCCATCCCCAGGGCCATCGGCCCGGCTCAGGGACACCACCCCACATGACCCATCACTCTCTGCGAGCTGGTGCCCTGCACACAGCAGGCACTTCTTAAAATGCTGTGAAATAAATGAAGGCAAACTGGGAAGTTGAGCGGCTCCGGCCCAAGGAGCTCACCGGCAGGAGCCTGAGAGTTAAACCAACACCCCCGGCCACGCTGTTCACGGACTAAGGGACCCAGCGGCCGAGACACAGCAGAGCCGCTTGGTGCCGAAGGCCGAGCTGAGGGCGAGTCAGACAGCGTCCGGGATGCCTCCAAAATGTGGGGCCTCCCGTCTTTCCCAGCCACGGCCCCGCACAGAGCCTTCACCCTGCGATGGTGGGGGATCCTCGCCCCCGGGGCCCCGGTACTCGTCTGTGGCCAAAGTGGATTTAAGACAGGCAGGAGAGCCGTCAGGGTGTTTTTTCAAGCATCGATTCTCTGAGCCTTTCCAGACATTAACTGACACCTTGCACACGGCAGCAGCGGAAGCCAGGGCCCTCCAGCAGCCTGGGCCACTTCCAGCTCCCCATCCGGAGGCCCGAGCTCGGTTTACCGGGGAGCAAGTAATAAAAGCGTCCTGACGACAGGCTGCTGTCACCGCGAATGAGAAGCTCGGTCACCTCCAGCAAGGGGAGGGCTTCAAAGGGCAGCGGGGAACGGGGAGGGGTAGGGGCTCTGAGGGGTCTTATGACAAGGGGAATGCGTATGGTAATTTTAGTAGCACAGACATTCAAATCAGTCCCTGAGAGCAGGACATTTCAGTGGGTCTTCTGGCGATGACACACCGGCCATTTCCTGGTCATTATTTTTCTAGAAATGACTCTCATGATGAAAACAGAATATGAGAACTTTGGAAGTCCTTTCTAACCAACAGATCAATCCCTCTTTAAAGAGGAAGTGCAGGTCCAGAGGTCCCTCAGCCCCAGTTTACCCTGCCCCGATGTTGCCCCAAGGGCACATCCTGGACTCCTGGAACCCAGGCCCGCTGTGGCCCTCGAGGTGAAGCTTGGCCTCCTGGGCGGTGTCAGACCCCACCCTAGGCTTCCTCCTGCAGGGGGTGCTCGAGGGGCTCTCCCCCACCACATCCCCGCCACCAAGTTTCTAGACCAATGGCAGGTCAGAGCCCACAGAGAGCCTTGGATGGCTCACCCGACTGGGCCAGGACAGATCTGATGTGCGCACTGGCCAGGCATACAGCAGACACTCAGTATTTCCGGAGCCAGTGAATCACTGTCACCAGCTGACTCCCTGGGGTGCACTGGCCCTATCCCGGGGCCCTAGGACTATAGCCCCCCACCTGAAGCCAGAGTCATGGGCAGAGCATTCTCACTCAGGCCGTGAGGACAGGGGACACCAGTTCACGGGGGCCACTTCTCTGTCGGGAGGGGACAGACTGTGCCTGCAGCTGGTACACCTGGTCAGCACTTCAGAAGTGGCTGAGAGGCCAGTTCAGTGCCCTGGACTGGAAGGAAGGCAAGGGTCACCACATGAGGTGTGAAGCTCCACTAGAACTCAGAAGGGAGCAGGGAATGAGTCTACATCTCCCCCATACAACCAGAGCCCCCCCACACTCAGGCTGGGGCTTCAGGGGCCGAGGTGTCCTTTGCTTTCCATCCCCGCTTACCACCAAACCCCGGTATAGCCAGGAACTCAGGATTAACGCTCAGAGACATTGGCGACAGACCTCCAGACCTGGATGGGACAGCCAGCCCGGTGGGCAGGGGGAGAGAGGGCAAGGCGCAGGCGATCAACTGCCTTTCTCGAGACGCCCCTGTACCACCCGATCATAACCAGGCTAGTGTTCAGACGCGACAACCCGGGGCGCACACCCCATCTCCTCAGGCTGCCGAAAGCCCTCTCGGGCAGCTTTCCCTCCTCTGACGCACAGCAGCGGCACGACCACCTTCCCCTCTGTGCCTCCCGCCCTAGGCTGACTTTCTTCCCACCAAATAAACACCTGCTAATGCCATAAATCCCTGTCCTAAGCTGGACAAACTCATCTCTGTCCCACAGGGGCAGATAACAACTTCTCAGCTGTTCATACTCAACACCATAACCAAGGACGCAACCCAGGGGAGAATCTCAAAGCTCCCTCCCGTGTGACTCAGTCCCACCCAATCCCCAGACAGCTTTCCAAAAACATAGACTATCAGGCCATCCGTAAATCTGTTTCTTCAAAAGGGCCTCAATTTTACATAACAGGCTATAGAAGGCCAAAGCAAGAACACGTGTTTCTATACTGCTCTCTGCGGGCCTTTTATTCTTAAAAACCACTGCTGGCTGCCTTTGGAGCAATTCATCCTTGTGACCAGTCAGGACGCCCGGAGGTAAGCGCACCTACAGGACAGAGAAGGCGAGTCATGTCTGCAGTGACAATGAGGCATGAGAAAATGAGCAGCGTCTTTCCAGACCCAAACGAGTAACGGCTCACGATCTCTACCTGGCTGACCCTGTTTTTCAATGACGGATTAAACTTGAAATCTGGAAAGAAGTACTTTAACTTTGAAGCCACTCAAAAGGCGCCGCTGTTGTTTCATGCATGTAGGTTTTTCGGCGGCTCCCACATGATCACCTCCTCCTCCTCTTTTCACACAGGGTGGCTTCCGTCCCACGGGTCAGCAGACCGTGGTCAGGAAGCACCCTGCCTGCCTGCCCACTGGCAAAAGGGCCGTCTCGGAAATAATCTCAAGGCTCACGGAGCTGACACCCCGGCCAGCAAATGCCCTTGGACTGTCTGCCCTGGAAATGGGAAGTTCACGGAGGAAACCAATGGAAACCCTGCGGGCGGGGACCGGGAGCCTGGTGCGAAGTGGAGGGGACTCCCGACTGTGACCTGTGCCCGCTGCCCCGGCCCCACGGGAGCAACACCTACCGGTGAAGTCCTCCAGGCACTCGCAGGTGTAGCCGCCCTCGCGGCTGCGGCACCGGCCGTGGGCGCCGCATGGGCTGGAGTAGCACAGGTCGATCTCGGTCTCGCAGTAGTCCCCGGTGAAGCCGGGCGGGCACCGGCATCGCAGCCCCGTGATGGGGTGGATGGGCCGGAAGAGCACCGTGGTGGAGCTGATGAAGGGCGCCGAGCTGTCGAACTTGAGCACGGACACGCACTTCATGTAGTTCTCGCACGGCTCCCGCAGGCAGATGTTGTCGTCGAAGGGCAGCACGCGCTGGGTGGACACGGCGGTCAGCAGTGTCCGGTTCAGGTAGATCTGCTCCTGCAGGTCCTCTGAGGGGAAAAACTTGTCGCGGACGCCGCCGGGGAGTAAGGCCGAGAAGGTCACGTTCAGGATGTTGGAGCTGACGTCTGTGTCGTTCTGGATGTTGAAGACGAAGACGTCATCCTTGGTGGTGGACAGCACAGTGGCCACCCCTTCCACAAAGAGGGACAGCAGCGGAGAGAGGAACTTCTCCTGCGACATGTTCTCCAGGCGGACGGTGATGCTGTTGGTCAGCATGTCATCTGTGATGATGGTGACCCGCAGTGTGCAGAGAGCCGCCACACTGTGGATGCCATCTGTAAGACAGGGAGGGGCGCAGTCACTGGGTGCTCACGTGCCTGAGGGGGTCCCAGTCCCCACTGGCTCCACCCGGGAACAGCCTCAGATGCACTTGGCACAGGAGAAGGAGCCAAGCCCCCAGCCCCATGCCCCACCTCCCCAGGGACCACCATTTTGACCCCACTTCCCAGTCCCCCCATGCCAGCTTCTGAGAGCAGAGCTCCGTCATGTCCACTTTGCTCAGAAGTCCCCAGGGGACCCCCAAACGCTCAGCAGGACGTCCTACAGCCACCACGATCCAACCCCTCGCCACCCCAGAGTGCCCCACCTCACATGCTCCAGTCCAGGCACTACTTACGGCCTGTGCACCTGTTACAGCACCAGGAGACCCCACCCCAACCCCGCGCCTTCCCCAGCCCTGCTCAGACCCCAAGGTGCCTGACGGCCCCGCCCAGGCTCAGCCTCGGGCTGTTATGCTGATGGCTTTTTGTCCTGTTATCCTGTGGATCTCTGTTGGCCCAGCACACACAGGACGCTGCTTCCGACAGACACGTTCACACAAGGTGACACGGCTGCGCGGCCACATGAGCAAGCAAATCATGAAATGACGTACTTGGGATTTGGGGACCAAAAAAGGAAGAACATTTTGTAAAGTTGAACACACCATCGGTTCCAAGCCCAGAATCAGAGGAGCTGGCTGCCCAGGACCCTGGGAGCTCTCAGGCAGGTCATGGAGCAGCGCCCAACAGGTGGCCCAGGGGGCCGTCACCTGCCTCCCAGGACGCTGCAGATGTGCCCTGGGACCCTAAGGAAAACCTGGCAGAATCTGTCTCCTTCTGGCTGGGCTCAGATTCCGTGTCCCCTCCACCTGGCTCCCTGCCACATCCCACTGCAAGCACACCCCCCGGCTCCATGGGGCACAGAGCCACCCGTGCAGGCCCAGGGGCCCTGACAGGTAAGGACCCTCACAGCTGGCGGGTGCCCACCAAGTGGGCAGGAACCCTGGGGGAAACTTCAGCTTGTTACTGGAAAGATGCAAGAAAGCCTTGGGACCACGAAGAGGACAAGTCAGGTGACAAAACCTGGCAGTCACCTTACCACTCTAGCCCCAGCACAGCCCCCACTGAGGCATAAAGCCTGCAGGGAGCCCCTAAAATAACAAGCTGTTTTTCTCAGGAGCCAGAAGCTACTTTGGGAGGGA